ACTGCACTCCAGTCTGGGCGACAGAGTGAGACTCCGACTCAAAAAAACAAAAAAAAAAAACAAAGGGAAGGTGTACTCCCTTGGACAAGGACACTGGACCCCACAAGACAGGCAGGTGGGCTCGTCACTCCCCTGCTGCGGCGATGGAAACAGCCCAGAGAGGGGCAGGGACTTACTCAGAGCCACACAGACGAGTCAGCCCGGCACGCAGACAGGCCGGGCCCCAGACGGGGCGGACTCAGGGTGCAGTGGGTGGGGGCGGGGCTCGCCTACCTGATGACCCACCAGCCATCCAGGAGCTTGTGAATGACCTCGATGGTTTCTCCCTGGAGCAGGGATATCTCGTCCTCCTCCACGGCTGTGTAGGCCTTGATGGTGACGTAGGACTCGCCTGGGCCACCGTGGGGTGGCAGGGCGTGGCGTCAGGGTCGGCCCAGCCCAGGCCTCACCACCCCTCCCCTCCTCCCTGGACTTCAGGCTTCCTCGGGAGTTCCAGACCCACGGGGAGCCCACGGGGCTCCCTCCTCTGGCTCTCCCTCCTCCCCCCGCCTGACACTTCTTAGCTCCCTGGGTAGGCTCCTTCCCCTGCCACCCACTCCGGGGCACACTCTGCCCTCTGCCCTCGACACCCAGGCGAGCCAGCCCCCTCCCGGGAGCTCCTGACTATGACAGTGGCAGCGGTGAAGTGGGTGGGGACAGCACCCGTCCACGTGGCACCGGGAGTCACTCAATTCCAACCAACACTTGGCACGTTGGGCTACAGGCCTTTACCGGTGTTTAAAGAAGAGCCACAGATCCACATAAAACAGTGCAATCTTGCCGTTTAAAAATATGTGCAAGCCGGGCTCAGTGGCTCAGCCTGTCATCCCGCGCCTTTGGGAGGCTGAGGTGAGTGGATTGCCTGAGCCCATGGGTTCGAGACCCGCCTGGGCAGCGAGACCTCATCTCTACGATAAATAAAAAAATCAGCCGGGCGTGGTAGCGCGCGCCTGGAATTCTAGCTACTCGGAAGGCCGAGGCGGAAGGATCGCCGGAGCCCAGCAGGTCGAGGCTGCGGTGGCCGGGAGCGGCCACTGCACTCCAGTCTGGGCGACCGAGTGAGACTCCAACTCAAAAACTAAAACAAAAAAATAAAAATACGTGCAACCAAATCTACTTTGTTAACTCATCGGAGGCCCTGTCCAGCCCTGGGGCTGCCAGTTTCCGCGCCCCCGGTCAGGGATGACGCCTCCACCTCCAAGCAGCCCTCCTTCCTGAGCCTCAAGTCTGCTTCCCGCTGGACCTGACCCCACGCCGAGGCCACCGCGTGTCCCAGGCTGACCTCCCCCATGCCCTCACCCTCGGCTCCACCTCTGCCTGCCAAGGCCCCATCCCTGCCTGCCAAGGCCCCCGAGCCAGAGATGATAGGGCCCTGACTCCTCCTGCCCCGCCAGCCGTCAGACGGGACCCCAAAGCTTCCTCGGTGTCCCTGCGCCCCTCCCGCCCCTCCCTCCCTCAGCCCTCCAGCCTTGGAGGGCAGGGGGCACCTGCGTAGTTGGGTTCCGGGTCCTCTGCCTCGTCGGGACTGTCCAGGGGCTCCAGGAAGGACGCCGGGACCCAGCCTCGCTTGGCCTTCATCTGGCAGAACCACCAGCCTGCAGCCGGGTGCGGGGAGGCGACTGAGCGACAGGGCCCGGCAGCCGGGCCCCAGACGCCGCCAGGGTGGCGGGGACACACCGAGACAGGTGCGTCTGGCGCTCAGATTCCGAAATACTCCCTTCACCCCCTCGACGTGGAAACCCCCCACATCCCCGCGCACGGGTTCCAGAATCACGACTCCCAACCCAATGCGTGTGGGTACGCGCGTGCCCACCCGCATGGACCACCCAGACGTGCACAGATGCCCACAGACACCCACAGTGGGGGGTGGGCACGCAGGGCCCCTGAAGGAGCCAGAGCCCCCTGTGGGCCGGGCGGCCCGAGGCTCAGTGGGGACGGCGGCCGGGGTCCCTGGCCACCGGGCCAAGAGGGTCCCGCAGGGTGGGAGGCCTGACCGGTCTCGCTCTTCTCCACGACGTCCACCACGTCGCCCGTGACCAGCGTCATCTCGGTGCCCGAGCTCTTCTCATAGTCGGCGACGGCGCGGTAGGTCTGCAGGATGATGGGCCCGGTGATGTCTGGGGTGGAGGGAGGTGGCATGAGCGGCACTGCAGGACCGTCCCGAGTCTCCGCAGCCCCGCGTGTCCCGAGCGTCTCCCGTGGTCCAGGCCGTGGCCCCCACTTCAGACCCGTCCTCACGGGTGGGGTGGGGGCGGCCTCGAGCGGCCTTTCCCGGCCGAACCCTGCACCCGAATCCCCTGGGGCCTTGCTGGACGGCGGTCTGCGGGCGGCCCTGAGTCGATTTCCCACCTCTGCGGGGCTGAGGCTACTCGTTACGGGTCGAGCTGTGGCCCCCCAGATTCCCGTGTTGACGTCCTAACCCCCAGCACCTTCGAAGATGACAGTGTTTGGACACAGGGTCTTGCAGGAGGGAATGAGGTTCAAACGAGGCCCTCAGGGAGGGGTCCTAAAGCCAGCAGACCCGGTGGCCTGCCAGGAGGAAGAGACACCAGGGGCCCGTGTGCGCACACGGCAGGAAGGTGGCCGTCCGCAAGCCACGGAGGGAGGCCTCGGGAGCAGTCCACCTGGGGTCAGCACCTTGGGGTCAGGCGTCCAGCCCCAGAACCGAGACGCGTCATCTCTGTTGTTTACGCCGCTGGCCTGTGGTCGTTTGGTTCCACATCCCTGGCGAACTAACAGAGACCTCATTTCTTCTTTTTTTTGTTTTTTTGAGTTGGAGTCTCACTCTGTCGCCCAGACTGGAGGGCAGTGGCCGCTCCCGGCCACCTCAGCCTCGACCCGCCGGGCTCCGGCGATCCTTCTGCCTCAGCTTCCCGAGTAGCCGGAATTAGCCTTCCAAGTAGCCGGAATTCCAGGCGTGCGCCACCACGCCCGGCTGATTTTTTGATTTATTGTAGAGATGAGGGCTCGCCAAGTTGCCCGGGATGGTCTCGAACCTGCGAGCTCAGGCAATCCACTCGCCTCGGCCGCCCAGAGTGCTGGGATGACAGGCTGAGGCACCGAGCCCGGCCTAATTTTTTTTAATTTATTCTTTGTAGAGATGGGAGGCTCACGGTGTTGCACAGGCTGGTCTTGAACTCCTGGGCTCAAGCAGTCCACCTGACTCAGCCGCCCAAAGTGCTGGGATGACGGGCGCGAGACGCTACACCTGTCCCCAGACCTCACTTGGAGCAGCCCCGAGTGCTCATCTGTTCATGACAGTGGCTCGTTAGCGTCTCAAGGTACGGCAGCCCTCAGTGTGTCCAGCTGTAAATTGGGGGTAATGGCACAGCGCTACCCGGTTCATATGACTAGAGGGATGACTACTTGAGTTAATGCATTTAAAATAGTGCCTGGCACAGAATCGGTGCTCCCTAAATGTTCGCTGTTATTTTTAACAGCCACAGCAGCCGGGCACGGTGGCTCACGCCTGTAATCCCAGCACTTTGGGAGGCAGAGGCAACAGGATGGCCTGAGCCCAGAGGTTCGAGACCAGCCAGGGCAACATGGTAAGGCCTCATCTCTACATGAAGTCAAACAATTAGCCAGGCACGAGGGCGCACGCCTGTGGCTCCAGCTACTTGGAAGGCTGAGGCGGAAGGATCACCTGAGCCCAGCAGGTCAGGGTTGTGGTGGCCGTGAGCGTGTCACTGCACTCCAGCCTGGGCGACAGCAAGACTCCAATTCAAAAAAAAAAGAGCCGGGCTCGGTGGCTCAGCCTGTCATCCCACACCTTTGGGAGGCTGAGGTGAGTGGATTGCCTGAGCCCGCGGGTTCGAGACCCGCCTGGGCAACTTGGCGAGACCTCATCTCTACAATCAATCAAAAAAAAAATCAGCCGGGCGTGGTAGCGCGCGCCTGTAGTTCCGGCCACCCGGAAGGCTGAGGCGGAAGGATCACCGGAGCCCAGCGGGTCGAGGCTGCGGTGGCCGGGAGCGGCCACTGCACTCCAGTCTGGGCGACAGAGTGAGACTCCAACTCAAAAAAAAAAAAGCCAGGCACGGTGGCTCAGCCTGTAATCCCAGCACTTTGGGAAGCAGAGATGAGAGGGCTGCCTGAGTCCAGGGGTTCAGGACCAGTTTGGGCAATTTGGTGAGACCCCGTCTCTACAATAAATCACAAAAATTAGCCAGGCATGGTGGTGTGCGTCTGTAGTTCCAGCTACTCGGAAGGCTGAGACGGAAGGATCGCCTGCGCCCTGCGGGTCGAGGCTGTGGTGGCCGTGAGCGTGCCCCTGCACTCCAGCCTGGCTGACAGAGTGAGACTCTGACTCAAAAAAAAAAACAACAACAAAAAAAGAGTGGCACAGGATGGCTAGGCGTGGTGGCTCAAGCCTGTAATCCCAGCACTTTGGGAGGCCAAGGCAAGAGGATTGCCTAAGCCCAGGGGTTCAAGACCAGCCTGGGCAATATGGCAAGACCTTGTCTTTACAATAAATCAAAAAATTAGCTGGATGTGGTGGTGCCCACCTGTTGTTCCAGCTACTTAGAAGGCTGAGGTGGAAGGATTGCCTGAGCCCAGCAGATTGAGGCTGGGAACGTGCCCCTGCCCTCCAGCCTGGGTGACAGAGCGAGACTCCAACTCAAAAAAAAAAAACCCGCACTGACATCAGAGACCACCGTGGCCCTGTGCTGCCTCCGAAGCCCCCAAACCTGATTGTTCATTCAGCCCCGAGCATCCCCGGGGCCACCAGGAGTCGAGGCCTGTGCTGGGCTGTGCGGCTGCAGGGGGCGGGCACACCGCCCCGGCGAGACGCCCCCTTCTCTCGCCAGCGACCCCGGAGACCCACACTCCAGCAGGCAGCCGTGAGCCCTCCCGGCTCTTCCCCACACGCCCCTCCCTCTGGCCCCTGGCCCTGGCGGCCCCCGGGCCTCACCTGCCACAGAGCTCTTGCCGTCTTTGGGCACCAGGTACGTCTCTGGCTTTTTGGCTCTGGGGAGAGAACGAGCAGTCTAGGTCAGGCCCTTGGCTTCCCACGGGAAGGAGAGGCTCCGGGTAGACCCACAGAGGAACTTCCCAAGAGAAAAACAGGGAGAAGGGGCCCCTGTGAGGAGGAGGGAGCCTCTGGGCTGGCTAGGGAAAGGCTCTGGGGAGAGACGGGACCCGGGGGCCCTCTGCTCGGCCAGCCCACGGGAGGGACACGAGGGGGCACGGCCAGCCTCCTGCAGGGGAAAGCACCGTCCTGGGCCTGCGAAGGCTCACGGCCATCTCCCCTCCTCCTGAGCCTCCGGGGCGCAGGCAGTGGCGTGGGGAGCCCAGCACGCCCCCCACTGCCCCCTGGGCCAAGCAGAGCGCCCTTCCGGGGCCAGGGCTGTGCTCAAGGGTCGGGGAGCACTGGCCGAGTGATGCCGTCTCTGTCTCTGTCTCTGTCTCTGTCTCTGTCTCTGTCTCTGTCTCAGCAGCCTGAGTGCTTGGCCAGGGCCAGTCCTGTCCGCCAGGCCTCGCCCCTGAGATCCAGTAACCAGGAAGAGACAGAGAGGGAGCCCCCCCAGCCTGCTCGGAGTCACTTGGTCACTCAGGTGCGACCTCGCAGGGCCCTGGATACAGGAGCCCCGAGGCCTGCGGGGACCCCATGACCTCGGCGGCTTGAGGCGCCCATGGCTGCAACGGGCCCTCGCCGCGTGTGACCGAGGGGAGCGACACTCATGCCGAGGGCGGCAGGGACCACC